AAAAAAAAAAAATTTGAATACAGTACATTTCTGATCATGAGCTCTGTGGTCAACAAGAGCTTCTTATGGTCAACAAGATACCCAGTTCTATGATACCATTTTCCTTGTTTACAATAGTAATACAGAATTTGTCAGACTCATTTTTTAAGTCTACTATATACAACTATGTAGGGAGTCTACATTTCAAAAAATATATATATATACATATATACAAACAGACTACATTAAACCTTGTCAATATCTGTAGATGAACTGAAGCAGGTAATAACAATTTACTTTTAAATACCATTTACAACATGGACTCAAATGATATTATGAATATGAAAATGAAAACTATATTGTCAAGATTTAAAATGTTGGGCTGGGGATTTAGCTCAGTGGTTTCTCCACGTGCTGCGCAAGTGCAAGAACCCAAGTTTGATCCCTGGTACAAAAAAGAAAAGATTTAAAATGTTGATATCCTAATGTTACTTATTTTTTTAAAAAATTGTTTTCCAAGTGACCAACAAAGTATACAAAAGGGCAGACTCAAGGACTATGTCATAAAACTGCTGATTTTTCAGCCATGCTAAATACTATAAAAAAGACTTTTTTTCTGTACTGCCTATAATTCAGGTTATTAAACTTTAAAGCTATATGAAAGCATTTATGAAGATCCTGAATTGTATTTCTCATTAAAGGAAAAGAAAAGTCTTGGCAAGTTATGTCCCTAAGTTAAAGCACAGCATTTCATGTGAAGGTGCAGCCATGGAGGAATATTCCTCAGTGTATGGGCTGAGGCCCCTCTGAGCAGCCGGAAGGCACTGAGAACATCAGACTCCTGATCTTCTAAACAAATCGTTCTCAAATGAATTTATTAAACGGCTGTGCAAAACAAATATGTGTTTAGCTACAGCTGGCTTCCATGGGAATTACATATGGCTATTTGAGGGCACTTTGAATTTATTAGGAAAAAAACAATCTAAGACTTGTAACAAATGTCCAAAACACTAAGATCAATGAGAAAGTCAAATACAAGCAGTCATATATTGATGAAATGTGTTTTGATCTTTTCTTAATATGATCTCTAATTCTATTTTTAATTCAACAGATAATGTGCTATAGTAATTATTTACTTTTTAAAACTTTATTTCAACATAAGTACGCTAAGAGAAATAAATTTACTTTGGTTAATAAAATGTAATTTAGAGCCGGGGATTTAGCTCGGTGGTTCTGCTGCCTGCCTCACAAACACAAAGTCCCGAGTTCGATCCCTGGTACCAAAAAAAAAAAGTAATTTAAATTATCTTGCAAAGTCTCAATAAAAAGCTTGGTACATGGTTGAAGATTTTAAAAAGGATTTGCAATCTAGTTCATTTTTTATCTATTAAAAAGGTACAAAAGATCTTAAATTCTTAAAATCTGATTCAAATTTTACCTAGCATAGCTGGGATATATTAATATACACAGCCAAGCTGTCTGTGGTTTGAGAAATTTCCTAATTGCCAAGGGCAAGAATATAAAAACTGACTCATGTGCCCAACTCAGCTCCTAACAAGTTGTTACATCCTCTATATCTTTCTTAAACTTTAGAACTATACTTTGTGACTATTCCAATGAGCTTAATTTGTTTTATTTCATTTCATTGACTACTGCTTATTTGGGTTAAGGAGATGAAGAACAGGGCCTTTAGAATCGTAAATGCACCAACTCCTGAAAGTTACACAGAAAACAAATGTAACGAGAAGATAAAGACAGAAAGTCTTTTATTCATATTGAAAGCAAATATAAAAGAACTCTAAGTTATGCACCTCACCAAAAACCAGCTTTCTACAATGACTGTCCTTGGGCTGCCAAGAAAGTACAACAGACTTGTGGACTGACAAAAGCCCAAGCTTGTCCTCTCACAGCTTTGGAGGCAGGAAGGCTGTAATGATATTGCTCAGGAAGAATGTCAGTCATTGATTCTGATTACTCTTAAACATTAAAGGATTATATTTTGTCATATAGAATTTCCATTTAAACTATGGACTGTTGCTGCCCAATATCTATGAAAAAAAAGTATATCTAAGCAGAATTTTAAGTGATAGTTCAGAAAACAATATCAAATTATATCCTGTTCATTCCCAATTAGATCTCAAGAGAATTATCTCCTTGCAAATGTTTTGATGTGTGTGTGTGTGTGTGTGGTGTATATAGTATATGTGTGTGTATATACTTATAGATATACATAAACATATAGATACATATTTTGACACACATATCTATATGGAAATAAGTATGACAGGATATTCAAAAGTTTTTAAAACTAACTTCCAAGAATTTTATACTCACTACATTAGGTATAATTATTTTTGCACTTTCCTCTTGCCTTCACCAAGTTTATATCTCTGTAGATGAGACAAATCTTTCTTCATCTTGGCAAAAATTTTTTGGCACTTGAGTGCTTTCACAGGGTTTATCAACTAGGTCCAGGAAAAGACTTCATCTAACATTTGTATCTAGTATTATAGTACTTCACCTTCTTGGAGCAGGTGGTAGAAGCTCTTTGCTAGCTGCAGTCCATGCTGTTCATGGTAGAGAACCACAAGATCAATACTTGTGAGGTAAGAATTCTTTCTTCCTCTCCAGAGGCCAAGAGGCAGTTAAGCAACATGGTCTCTTCTCCAGCAGTGGCTGAGGATAACCCACAACTGCACATCTGGGGTCTCTGGTGCTACATTAAGGGGCACAGCCATGTGTGCTTTGTCCTTCTCACAAATTCAGACTTTCACACTAGGAGTCCATGCTCACCACTGTGGACAGAATGGACTCTATCTCTATGCGCATTCCTCCAGATACACAGATGGTCTTAAATCACCTGAGCCACAAAGAGGCGCCTAGCCTGCCCTTTACTCTTTCCACTCTAATGCACCCACCAGGGGATTTGCATATTACCCCCAGGGAGGACCTTCCTGTACAACTGATATAAAGCTCAGCTCTATCCTTGCCTTGACTGTGAGTTCAGATTCTCAGAATGAAGTTCCCCACTCAGCTGCTGGGGCTGCTGATGCTCTGGATCCCTGGTAAGCACAGA